CGCGGCGCCCGCTCCACTCAGCCGGGACTCCGAAAGGCGAGAGCTCAGGGACAAGACGGAGCTGGGGCCGGGGTCTCGCCGGGCAGGGAAGGGCCGGAGGTCGCTGCTGGGGACGAGGGCTTCCCCGAGGTGCCGCCGCGGCCGCCGACGCCGGTGCAGCGCTGGAGCTTCCTACTAGCGAACTGGACCTGCTCGCCACTGAGCATGCGCCTCCGGGCTGGGCCGGTTCGCTCCGGGTTTTCCGGCTCCCCGAGGAGGAGGAGGGAAGCACGAGAGGGATGGCGCCCGGCGGGGCTGTGGCTGCGCTCCCTGGAGCTGCAGGGGAGGGGCGAAAGGGCGCGAGAAGTCGAACCCTGGCCGAGAGGGGCCTGCGGAGAGTTGGGGGTGGGAGGCCTCGGCCTGCATTGTGTGGTCGTGCTGTGAGATCCCACCCCTCTCTCCCAGGCCCTGGGTCTTCCCTTTCGGTAAGGTGTGTGTGTACTTTGTTCCCGAAGGCGAAGATAAGGACTGCCCAGCTCGTGCGATGTATAGTAAACAGACGGGACAAAAGCGAGGTCCCCTCTCGCGAAACCTGCCGCTCTGTACTTGTCGGGTAATATGATAGAAGCGATCGCAGTATTTCCAAACAGTCTTTCCACATCACAACAGTAAACCATATTGGTGGTTTTAGATTCACTCTGTTCATCTTTCAAGCCCACTTAAAATAAGAACTCCCATCATCATTTACCTCCAATGGAAATTGAGACCTCTTGGGCAACTCCCAGATCCCAGAGCACTTAAGTCCCTCTCAGGGCATTTTAACTAGCGCTGTTTTATATCTTCCCTGATTCTTTCAACTAGATAATAAACTCCTAGAAGGCAGATTTTTTTTTTTTTTTTTTTTTTTTTTACCAGGGGCTCTATTCAGAACGGGTCACTCAGTGAATGTGGACTGCAAGGACGCCATATCTATAAATTGTCCCCCCATTCTGAGGATGAGATGTTTCTGGATAACAGTGGCCCTTTGTCACTGACACCTCTGTTTGGTCATTAAACATTTTTGAAGTATTTTAAAATAGGCCATTAAATCCTCATAGCAGCCCTTCTGTTTTCATTTCACAGAAGACAGGTTAGAAAAGCAGATGGGATTGAAGTTGAGATTGTGTCTTGTACTGGAGAACAATAACCGGGATTACATAGATGAGAAATGTTTTTAAGCAGTAGACTTCTTTGAAAATCATTACACTATATCTTGGAAAATCTATTTAAAATATTATGTTCTTTCCTTTAAAAATGTACACACAAGGGCTGGCAGGTGGCATGGTTAAGGGCGCTGGACTCCCACACAGTAGATCGCAATTCTAGTCCCAGACCTGGCGGCTTTCTTTCTCTCTCTCTTTCTCTCTGTTTCTCTCTCTACCCCCCCTTTCACTCTGTCCCTCTCTAGTCAAATTAAAATAAGTAAAGTTAAATAAAGTAATTCTCTTTTTAAAAATGTACACACAGGATTTACGTTTCTTTTAAATTCCCCACAGTGTTCAGAAAAACATCTTAAAATCTGTCCATAAATCCTCTGGGTAAGGAGGAGAAACTATAGCTTGGAGGGTTGTTTCCGGGCACGAGAAGGGGTAATGTCAGTCATCTTTAAATATTTAAAGGGAATAGGGCAAGGTGATTGGTTTGTGGGGTTCTACAAAACCACCGTCAAGCCCCTTCTCCATTCTCCTCTTAGGATTTTGGGCCTGCAGGCAGTATGACTTTTCCAGCCCCAAGTCCAGGAACTGAACGTGGTCAGCCATGTGGAGTCCAGCGCCTTAACCACCGCTACCTGCTAGCCACCCTCTTGGGCTGTATCTCCAGCCGTGCATTTGCGTCCTACTTACAGTACGGTCTCAACATTGTCCCGCCACTCTCAGGCCTGGCTTGTCACATTCCACTCACACCACACCAAGCCTTTGCTGTCTCAGAGTTTGCTCTTCTCTCAGCTTAGAACTCCTGGCTGTTCATTTGGCTGGACTACAGCTGGAGTCTGGACCAGTGGTTTGAAAATCACGGCGCAGAGTGTGCATGTATGCCCAAGATCCCAGAATAACAGAGAAGGGATTGCAGCGTGGCCATGCCTGGGGGATGATTTCTCACTTTCCCTCTCAGTCTCTCTCTGGAGAGGGCAGGCACCCTAAGGCTAAAACTTCTTAAAAAAAAAAAAAAAAAGTTGCATGAGAGAAACTACATAATCAAAGCCGTCCCCAGCAAACGTTTTTGGGGGTACACTAGCTAACCCACACTCACTCCACGTGTGTAGGGTAAGGTTTAGAGCTCGGACTTGTTGACCTCCAAGGTCCCCTTGGACTCCGAATCTCTAACGCGGGTGCAGAAGGAACGAGCCCTAAAGACGGATTATAGCCTGGGCTGGGCACGCTTGGCGCAGGTTTTCGCTAGGATGGAAGTTTAGGCCGCAGATTGAGAGCAAGCAGCAGGAGGGAAATTGTAGTGAAGCTCCGTGATTCTCAGTGGAGTGACCTAGGACAGTCCTGATCTCTAAGGTCAAGAGCAATTTGTGCAGCTTGTTTTATCTCGTGGGACAAAACCAAACGTTTAGGGGCACTCCGCGAGAGAAGACGGCCGTGTGGGGCTCAGAGGCGTGCCAAGGTAGGCGCGAAAGTCCAAGCCCCTTAGCTTTAACGGCCGACTAGCGCCTGGTGGCGCAGGCGCAAAGGCTTCTTTTTGCGCTCCTCCCGGATCTAACAAGCCTCGCGCCACAGCGGACATGACGCACGGGGACGCGTCCAGGCAAAGTAGCCGAGGACCGAAAGGAGTGCGTCCAGGCGGCCTAGCCGAGTTCCGGGCGCAGTGCGCATCCAACTAAGAGGGCAGGAAGGATGTTTGGCTCCTGTGTGCGCCCCCTTCAGGCGGACGTGCAGCAATCCGCGAGTTTTCCAATGCTGGGGCGGGGGGGGTGTCACCCGGCTCCCAGCAAGACTACCTTCCTCAAACAATCTTTTTTTTTTAAAGAAATATTTATTTAATTTTATTAATTCATTTGATCAGAGAAAGACACACAAGAGAGAAGGTAAGTGAGAAAGCAATCCATCAGGTCTGGGACTTGAACTGCAGTCGGCCATGTGGGCGTGGCTGTGTGGAAGTGTTCAGTGCCTTAACCACCACCCACCCGCTGGCCCCTTCCTGAAGCAGTCTTCAAATCCAGCTACTTGCTCTTCTGTTCAAGAGCTATCCACTGCTTTCCCGGATAAAATTCAATGTTCTACCTCGGTACTCCTGGCCTTGCAGTTATGCCTCTACATTTGTGAACTTCTTGCAGCCCACAAACTCCTACTTATGTCTCTGTTTCCAGCATATGCTGTTCCTTGTGCTCGGACGCTCGTAACCTTTTTTTCTACGTTCCCACCAGCCGCTGCTCCATCCCAGCTCCCAGATACACGCTCATCACGGAGTTCTTATCCATACCGTGCGTCAGCACCTCAAATACCACTTTTTCTCTAAAATCTTTCTCAATTCCTATTCAAAATTTCTTCCCTTTAAGTACAGGGCTGGATAAACAGAGGAAACAGTAGTTTCAACCATCTGTAAAGTTAAGGTCTTTTTGTCTCCAGAGCATACACACCCTTTTTTCTTCATGCTTTCATTCTTCCCTGTCTCTACTTTCGATTCCACTTCTTCAAATAAATGGTATGTCCCAGAAATATACTGGAAAAAAGGATGCCTGAGAAGACCACTGGATGCTCAACATTTACCCACCTCTAGTTAATATTTTTAGTCCCTCCCTCTCTTACTCTTTAAAAAACTCTCACTCCTTTTCCATCTTTGCAAAGATGATAAGGAACAAGGTACATATAAAAACCATGATTCAAGATTTTCCAAGATATATTATAAGACAAGTCTTCAAAACAGTAATTACAATGTATCTGATGGAAAGCCATTGATGGTTGCAAAAAAAAAATTTTTTTTTTTTTTTGGAGAGGGTTTTGCTATAGGGCACATGCGCTTGCCAGACAGAAACATAGAGACAGAAAGGGAGAAATCACCCCCCAGGGGGGATGCCCATGCCGCAATCCCTCCTCCTCCATTCTCCTCTTTGGATCTTGGGCATGCACACACCCCCGCCCAGCATGAGCTTAAGCCACCGGGTCCGGGACGTGAACCGCGGTCGACTATGTGGGAGTCCAGTGACATAGCCATTACACTAACTGCTGGTCCCAGTTGCCAAAAATTTTTACACTGAAATAAACTTGGAAGTCAACTCCATTTTTTCATGAACCTTTTTCTTTTTAAAATTTGCTATGGGGTGAGAGCACTCTAGAGGCAGTTCTTTATTATGAAATAAGTTCTGTGTTTACCTGTTTAGAGTTCAGGTGATCTGACAGACTGGTAGAGTTAGTCTGGATTTTACTAGGTAAACAGACATGACCTACAGTGTCATTTTTCATCAAGTATATAAACCAAATGATAAAACCCATCAGGCCAACAAGCCAGTTGTCATTTTTTTAATTATTTAATTTTATTCATTGTCATTATTTTATTTCTTTTTTTTGAAGTTGACCAGAGAGAGACAGAAAGAAAGAAGGAGAGTGAGAAAGCAAGCTGCCAGGTCCAGGACTCAAACCACAGTCAGCTACGGGGGATCCCGCCCGCCTTAACCACCATGCCATCTGCTAGCCCCCCCACTTGGTATTTCTTAAAACCTAATGTTGAG